TTGTGTAAATACTTTTGTTTGGGAAACAGGTTTGGAAACTCAGATGTCCGAGTTTTCCACGTGTCCTTAAACGCACCGTGCATTCGTGGATCGTCGCCTTTTGAGAGTGCGGAAAAACACTCTCAAAAATCTGTGTGTGCGCGGAAGGTGATTCGTGTGTGTTAGACGATCCACGCATGCATAGGTAACAATGTGTACGTACTTTCTAAAGAACTGCACACAACAAAATCGATTTTAAGCATTTGTAAAATGTGTTTTATGTGCAGTTTGTACAACATGCATTTGTGAACAGCATGACACACACACACAAATGGCTTTATACGTGCAGATTGCGCAGCATGCATTTGTGATCTCATGACACACACGCACACAAATCGCTTGTTAAAGACAAAACGTTAAACACGCATTTGTAACATTTTTGATAGTGATGACGCCATCACCCCACGTCAGCTACTGCTAGTGTCACATTGACTGTGACATCAACATAAACAATGGCGAACTATATGCTTTCATGCTACACACAGATGCTAATGAACTTGTTAGCATTAGTACAACTGCTCCTTTACTACTGTTGCGACCAACAAAATAATGTTGGTAACTTCGTAGGTCTCATGTCTTTAGATCCACTGCGGAGGACAACCAGATGTCAACAAGGAGAAGATTTTGGGTTAGACTTGGTAGAACTAGCAGTTGGTGGGACAACTTTGTCGGTAATGCGCATGCTCAGACATTGTTTATTCGTTTTCACTGTTTTCATGTCAACGCAAATACATTTTCACTGTTTACATGTCAACGCAAATACTTCCCGTCTACACAGCAATCGTTTTAACAAAACTATGCGTATACAGTCAAGAGCGTTTACGTGTTAACAGACCCATAGTATGGATGCTGACTCAGCATCCATACAATAATTGGATAACATAATATGGATGCTGAGTCAGCATCCATACAATAAATAATTGGAAAATATAGTAAGTAAATTATTGAATATCATTTTTAATCTCTGTTTACAGATTGGATAGGACATGCAAATATATATATCTGCAATTCAGTGAAAAAGTTATGTAGAAGGAGTGAAAACTGTGGTTGTGAGGACGAGTTAGAGAATGTTTTAGACAAATCCAACAGCCCCACCACTCTAGGTGTGATATCACCACTACAGCCTCTCTTCATAGAGACCAATGTACAGTGTTTCTCATTTTCAACCATTTTAACAAAGATTCAAATACATTTTAATCTTTTGAAAAGTACAAGTGGAAGTTAAAGGTTTAATCTACAGTAGGTTAACCTCATTGTCAGTGAGCCGTGGGCGTCCATGACCCTGTCTCCAGTTCACCATGTGTCCTTCCTTAGACAGTGTTGGTAGGTACTAACCACTGATGATCCTTACACTTGCCCATTTTTCCTGCTTCCAACATCAACTTTGAGGATTGAATGTTCACTTGCTGCCTAATGATAGCAGAAAGACTTGGACTATCCTGTATTGTAATTATTTCCACAGTCTTTTATCCTCACACTTGCAGTACATTCCTGAACAGTGGGGAAATCCTGTGTGTGCCCTGTACCAGCAGTCAGCATTCTGTTGTTCTGTGTGTTTTCAGACTACAATCCCCTGACTGGTCAGGGAGGAGGCTCCTGTTCCTGGAGGCCTGGCAGGAGAGGGCCGTCATCTGGTGGATGAGGTTAAAGAAGGTCAGACATTGGTCTTTATGACCTTTAGCCTCTGACATCCTGATGTGCACACTGACTGACTTGAACCAAGTAGACGATGTCACCATCTCCTACACTTTTAACTTGCTCTATACTTTTAATGGGTACCGATTAGTTGGTATAATTAATATAATTAACCAGCTATCTTCTCCTGTTTATCTTCACTCCTGTCATTAACTCCTGCTGCCTTGTTAAACTTCAAAGATAGTATGATTACCTTAAATCACACCTTTAATGGCCAAATGCTTGGTGCAATTGAAAGCTTGTAATGACGCCATTCCTGAAAACGGTCTGTAACCGGTAGGTTTGGCTGATGAATTTCACAGTCAGTGGGTTTTTTCTTGTTATATTTTAATATGGTTATCAATGTGTACTACCACGGCTTTAGAGCTGACATCACTGCAGCTGTAGCCGGTCGCCAGTTACAAGAAATCATACATTCTGTCTATATACTTAAAGATTTTGATCAGTCAAAATGTAAGGAGCTTATGTCTACACTGTCACACACACTTTTATGTAATAAAGGTATGGTCACCTTTAGAAAGTGCAACATGCTTGGTGTGATTTTTTTTTTTTTTTTATAAACAGTTTTTAAGTTTTACTTGCACATTAATCCTGGTCATTGGTCCCCATTCACTAGTTTGTGACAGATGTTCTTACCTTGTGCCAAAGGTACAGTTTTGCATATGGACAGTAGGAACATGCCCCTACCTATATTTTGGGAGTTATCTGAAGCTCATATTATTTGCAAATGTCATATTGCTCCCAGATGTGGAGGAAGCGATAGCCGGCGGTCAGTTCAATGACAATATGTTATCAGGGTTGTTGGTCTATACCTCAAGCATGGGCAAGATGTAGTCTTACAGGTGACATTCCCTGTCCTTTACTGCCTGCAAACCATAGCACACACATCATTTTGTCCATGCCACATCTTGTCCTTTGTCGATAACATTATTCCAGCTAACGAGATCGAGGGAGTTTTGAATGGAGGAGAAACAGGATCAGACTAGAGACATAGAGCGGGTTGATGAAGAAACAAGGGCATGTTTCAGTTAAAGCTCTAATTATAAATAATTGTAGTTCAGAGTTATATGGAGGCATCAGCATTAAAGTTATTTGATCTGCTGTGCCCCAGTAAAATGACACATTTGAGTTTTAACAAGCTCCTATATGCTATTTGGCAGTAGATTAATTTAGATTAATGGAAAAAAGAACTGATCTGTTCTAATCAAGAAGATCAAAGCAAAATACAAGCTGATGCACAGTGGTTAGGGTGAGAGAGGTACAGTAACACCTGGCTGAGGTTGGTAAACAAGCTGACATTAGTTTAGTTAGCTAGTATATCACCAGGTGTGGATGTTGAATGTGAAGTAAATTAGAGCTCTGTACATCAATGCATATGCTCAGTTGGACTGCTCTTAAAATGCTGTTTATCACTGTATTACAAACTCAATGTTGGGACAGTATGTAAAGCCAAAATTAAACCTGAAAATGTGTAAACCATCTCTGTCCTGTATTACATTGAAAACAACAAAGCAGCACATTATTTGATGTGATACCTCATCAATTTTATTCTTTGTTCAAAATAAACATTTTAATTCTGATGCTGCAACATGTTCCAAAATAAGTTGGGGAAGCTGCATTTCAGGGCCAGTACTGAGGTAAAACAATGAAATGATTATTCCATTTGAACCAGGTGACTGCATCATGATTTGGTACAAAAGTGGCATCCAGGAAAGGCTGAGCTCTTTAGGAGCAAAGATGGACCGAGGACTACCAGTTTGCCAACATACAGTGCCTTGCAAAAAGTATTCATACCCCTTGAATTTTTCCACATTATGTCATATTACAACCACAAACTTAAATGTATTTTATTGGGATTTTATGTGATAAATCAACACAAAGTATCGCATAATTGTGAAGTGGAAGGAAAATGATACATGTTGTTACAAATAAAAATCTAAAAAGTGTGGTGTGCATATGTATTCAGCTCCCTTTACTCTCATATCCCTAAATAAAATCCAATGCAACCAACTGCCTTCAGAAGTCATCTAATTAGTAAATAGAGTCCACCTGTGTGTAATTCAATCTCACTATAAATACAGCTGTTCTGTGATGACCTCAGAAGTTTGTTAGAGAACATTAGTGAACAAACAGCAACATAAAGACTAAGGAACACACCAGACAGATCAGGGCTAAAGTTGTGGAGAAGTTTAAAGCAGGATTAGGTTATAAAAACATATCCCAAGCTTTGAACATCTCACGGAGCACTGTTCAATCCATCATCCGAAAATGGAAAGTGTACGGCACAACTGCAAACCTACCAAGACATGGCCGTCCACCTAAACTGACGGGTGGCACAAGGAGAGCATTAATCAGAGAAGTAACCAAGAGGCCCATGGTAACTCTGGAGGAGCTGCAGAGATCCACAGCTCACGTGGGACAATCTGTCCACAGGACAACTATTAGTCATGTATTCCACAAATCTGGCTTTTATGGTAGAGTGGCAAGAAGAAAGCATTGTTGAAAGAAAGCAATAAGAAGTCCTGTTTGCAGTTTGCTACAAGCCATGTAGGGGACACAGCACACGTGGAAGAAGGTGCTCTGGTCAGATGAGACCAAAATTGAACTTTTTGGTCTACATGCAAAACCCTAACCTAACACTGCACATCAACCTGAACACACCATCCCCAGCGTGAAACATGGTGGTGGCCACATCATGGTGTGGGGATGCTTTTCTTCAGCAGGGACAGAGAAGCTGGTCACAGTTGATGGAAAGATGGATGGAGCTCAATACAGGGCAATCCTGGAAGAAAACCTGTTAGAAGCTACAAAAGACTTGGGACTGGGGTGAAGGTTCACCTTCCAGCAGGACAACAACCCTGAACATACAGCCAGAGCTACAATGGAATGGTTTAGATCAAAACATATTCATGTGTTAGAATGGCCCAGTCAAGAGGTATGAATACTTTTGTAAGGCACTGTATGTGTGAGAAAATAATTGAAATGTTTAAAAACAATGTTCCTCAGACAAAGATAGGATGGGATATGAGATCTGTCATCCTCTATGGTGCAAAACATCATTAAAAGATTCAAGGAATCTGGAGGGATTTCAGTGTGTAAAGGATGAGGACCAAGCCTAAACTGGATGACCAAGCTCTCTGATCCCTCAGACAGCACCGCATCAAGAATCATCACTCTTCTATCAATGATATAACCACATGGACTCAGGATGACTCTGGCTCACCTGTGTCAGCCACTACAACATGTAGTTACATCCATAAATGCTGCTTAAAACTGTTGTGCCAAAAGGAAGACCTATGTCAACAGTGTCCAGAAGTCGACTGCTCTGGGCTCAGAGGCATCTGGGACGGACCATCACACAGTGGAAACATGCACTGTGGTCAGACCAATCAGTGTTTCAGGTTTTTTTTGGAAGGAATGGATGCCGTGTGCTCCAGACCAAAGACCAAAAGGACTATCCAGACTGTTACCAGCAACAAGTAACAAGAAAATAACGTGGGCTTCATAGATAACTGGAAAACATTTTGGGGAAAACCTGGTTTGATTAGCAGAGATGGCATCCATCCCACTTTGGGTGGTATGGCTCTCTTATCTAGAAATCTGGGCGAGTTTATTTTACAACCTAAATTATGACAACCCAGATTTGAGTCCAGGATGCAGGGTCGCAGTCTTACACACCTCTCTGCTGTCTCCTTGCAGCTGCTACTCACCCAACACTCCCAGTACCCCATAGAGACTGTGTCTGCCCCCCACCCACCTAAATTATATAAATCAAGAATCAACTCCAGAGGAGTTATTCATAAGAACCTAATTAAAATTAAGATGACTCCTCTAGTTAGCCTCTCTATAATTCCATTAATGAGAATTGCTTTTATGTGTCTTTTTTCCATACAAGCTTAGCCTTTCATATTGGCATAATTAAATATTAAATTTACAGATTGCCGACTGGTCGATCTACATTCCGACTCCCACCTATGGTCATAAGCTTTGGGTCATGACCGAAAGGGCAAAATCCCGGATACAGGCGGCCAAAATGAGCTTTCTCCGCAGGGTGGCCAGGCGCATCCTCAGAGATAGGGTGAGGAGCTCGGTCACCTGGGAGGAGCTCAGAGTAGAACCGCTGCTCCTTCCACATCGCTTCATTTCTACTCACTCTTGGTGTAGTAAGGCACTTTTGGGAAGACAGACTAAACACGCATCAAAATCACGCCACAAAGTTGTGCCTGGTGGAAAACAGGGGTTGCACTTCTGGTTAGATGCTAAACTGTATTTCATTGCCTTGTACATGTGTAATGACAATAAAGCTGAATCTAATCTAATCTACTCTAGAGGAGAGCTCAGATTTTATCTCATTCATTCAAGCAATCAGACTGAAACTGAAGTGGCGTGGCAATATTAGACCCTATTGCTAGAGAAATCTGAATGTCATCTACAAAAAAATTCAAAAAGAATCCATATTTCTCTAATACAAGCCCCAGAGGTAGAAGATTAAAAAAAATAAATAAATAAACCGAGAACTGACCCCTGGGGGACCCCACAAGTTAAAGGGACAGTGGAAGAAAAACAATTTCCAATATTTACAGGAAAACTCTTGTTTAAAAGGTAAGATATGAACCACCTTAAAACAATGCCCTAGGCACTGTATAAAGTAAGATGAGGATTTCATGATCCACTGTATTCCCCCACGCCCCCAATTTATGTCTCCTCTCTCCTGTAGTACGCTGCTTTCTCTCCTCTCCTCTCCATCCATCTATATGCCACCATTACACATTACTAACTTTGTGTCTCCTCTCTCCCATAGTGTGTCCTCTCTCTCTCTCTGTACCTTTCTGCAGGTTGCTCTGGAGCTCTATGTCTCTGACGAGCAGTCACCAGCCACGTCGACCTGATCAGTGTTTGATTGTTTGTTGTGTCTTGTTGCTTTTCTTCTTTTCTCTCTCCTCTATCCACTCACCCCAACCGGTCGAGGCAGAAGGCCGCCCACCAAGAGCTGGGGTCTGTCGGAGGTTTCTTCCATTAAAGGGAGTTTTTCCTCCCCACTGTCGCCAAGTGCTTGCTCAAGGGGGATTTGTTGGGTTTTCCCTATGTAATAATAGTGATAACAGTAAGGTCTAGACCTTACTTTGTAAACTAAGTAATTTAATGTTAATTATCGGTCATCACTGATTTTTCTCTTTAAAAGATTAGTATTTATCACTTTTATCATAGTTTATGTATTAATCATTATATGCAGCTTTAAACATCACTACTTATAAGGTATAAAACCATAACAATATAATAATAAAACTAATTCAATAAAGAGAGAGAAAGTTTAACCTTTTTAGAAATTTTATGTAGATTTTAAAAGGAGTTACAGCGTAGCAGTAAGAAATAAGGCAAAACATTAAAGTCACTAATAATCATTGATTACCTTACATTAAATTAATCAACTACTATTTCTAAACATCAATCTAAGCTATTATCCTGATTAAAGTTATTTTAGTTTAGCTCTCAATCACTGAATAAAAGTCAAAGAATTTCTCACTGAACACCAGTCCTCAGTTGGTTCAGACTAACAAAGAGACATGCATCCTCTTCTGGTTCAGTCTTTGGTCTTCTTTCCAGCCCTTCCTCCTCCTCTGTCACATAGGCTTAGTCCTTTCACCCAACCAGATGCCACATTTTTCAGCTATTACCTTCTTTTTTTGGCTTTGCCAGGTCTTGTTTTACTGAACTATTGCATATCTTTTACCATTAAAATCCAGTACACTGCCCATAACTGGCATCCCCCTGTTGTGATTCAGCATGATCTACCTCTCTTTTCTCAAACACAAGACCAGTGGTCCTGACTGGTCTTCATTTCTGCATGTCAGCCCCTTATCCAAATTACATTGCACTACTTGTCCCACATTGTCAATAGTGACATTAGGGAACTTCTCAGCTTTGCACTGGATCTGGCTAGGCGTATTGCATATCTTGTGCCCTGCCTCTCGAATCCTTTGATAAGTTTCGTTGTCTCCTCCTGGAGTTCCCAGTGTGGGAAAGCTGGTATCATACCAGGGTGACCATTGACAAGGATTACATGTGGGCTCTGTGGACACACATATTAGAGGTGTTGGTTATGTGGTAAATCTGACATTGAACATTTCTTCAGTCTAAAATGAATACCTTGCACATACCTGGAGTGGTTGATGTAAAAACAAAGGTGGTTGGCATCTGGCTGACTGTAGTAGTGGTTGCAGTGGGCATATGCGTTGTTGATGCACATGGGTATGACATCTTATCAATGGTACCATTCTTCCCACACACTGCTGTGATGCACTTACCATCTGTTGTGTTATAGATGGTACTACCAGGTGGGTATTTGTTTCCATTATATGTACAGGTACAGGCTGTAAAAGAGGAATTTTATTGTTAACATATAAAGCTTAACTAAACATGTATTTTTAAAACCCACAATATCTCCAAGTCTTTGCATACCTTGGGCATCGTAATGGCATTGGATAGTGATTGAACTGCATGTACTTTAAGAGAAACACCATGAAAAATATTAGTTTTTATTTATTTTCATTTCATTTGACCCCATCACAGAGCGTTATTATCTTGATAGGCACATGTAAGAAATGCAAGACCTTCCATGTATGACAGTTTTCAGTTGTTGGCACTTGTCACCATTATTATAGTGTCTTCCTCCTTTGTCGTAGCAACCACATTGTTCTTTTGAACCACATGCCATTGTTTCCTCATCAAAGTATGGCTGAGCAGGAGGACATTTTGGATAGCAACCTAAATGAAAAACAAACAACTGTTCATGTACTTGTTTTTTACTACTTGTAATTTGTAAAACCATGGATACTATCAGGTGAAAGTAGTAACTTTTTATGTTCACCTGGTGTTGTTTTGTAATGAGTCAAATTGGGGAAAGTTTGTTCGTAAGTGTAAAGAAACTGCCAATCAAAATCAAACAATCAGTGTGTTCAATTTAATCTTGAATATTTCATTTAATTTAATTAGCAGATTGGGTAAAGTTCTTGTACCTTCTAGAGGAGGTATCTGTGTAGAGCAGCTGCCAGAGGGGTTCCTGCAGGTTTTCATACAAGGAGATCCACATGGCATGTAGTGCCATTCACATTCACCAGGGGGATTGTAGTAGTCACAGAAAAGAGCTGGAAAGTTTGACAATGCAACATTATTTTGATGAGGATAATAAAGAGACGTGAGCGAGGCAAGCGCAGGGGACTCCATGCTAGGTTAAAAGCTCACGCTACTCGACCGCCATTGCCTAGCCTTTTCCTAGCTAACGTACAGTCTCTGGAACACAAACTGGGCAAGCTAAGGGCTAGGATTACAGCACAACGGGAAATCGGAGAATGCTGTGCTCTAATTCTCACCGAGACTTGGCTTTCTGACAGAGTCCCAGATTCTGCGATTCAGCTACAAACACACTCTGTACATCAAGGTGACCACACTGCTGCTTCGGGGAAGGTAAAAGGAGGTGGTGTGTGTAGGTTTATCAATAACTCATGGTGCGGAGATGTACGGACTGTCTATAAGCACTGTTCGCCAGATGTAGAGTTTTTATTGCTGAAAATGCCAGCCCTATCATCTAGCAAGAGAGCATAGTGCGGTGTTTCTGGCTGCTGTGTATGTTAGCCCAAGAGCTAATCCCTCGGCGGCTATCAGTAAACTCTATATTGTCATCAGCGTGGTAGAGACAGCTCATCCCGATGCTGTATTTATCGCTGCAGGCGACTTTAACCAGTGCAATTTACAGACTGTACTTCCCAAATATTACCAACATGAACATTCCCACCCAGGGCAAGAACAGTCTAGATGTTTATAGTAACATACAGGGTGCATACAGGGCTGCACCCCACCCCCACCTTGGACGCTCAGACCACATTTCTTTGTTCCTGTATCCAGCTTACAAACAAAGACTGAAACAAACAAACCCTGTCACCAAACAAATTAGACTCTGGACCCCAGAGACTGAAGGCACCCTGCAGGACTGTTTCGCCCAGACAGACTGGGATGTGTTTAAAGCTGCAGCCACCTCGGAGGACTTTTATATCACTGTACAGGATTATGCTGAGTATGTGACCGGATACATTAGTATCTGTATCGACAACATTGTGCCCACCATACAAGTCAGGAGGTTCCCCAACCAGAAGCCCTGGATAAACAGTCAGGTACGCCACATGCTGC